AAATTGTGTTTTGTTTGCTTGGTTTTTACTGATATTAGTACATATGCAGTATTGCTACAACAGTCAACAGTACCTAATATAAGATACAAATCTGAAGAGCTTTAGTCTTCAGTTTTCCAGAAAAGTCCACTTTTCTGGAAAGATGCACATCTCTGAGACTATTTCTTTCACCAAAGCAATCTTCAGCACAAAGCACACAAACTGCCCAAGTCATCTTTCATTCGCTTTTCTCACTCAAATTTCTAACAGACTAGACCTTCATGTACCCTCCCTTAAGCTATAGCGCTCAATAAAACTGTCATCTGGAGATTTGTCTTGCCTTTCTTACACTGTCTCAGCATTTTCAGAAGCCAAAAGAATTTCACAAATTGAAATTCAACCAAGTTGTTCTGAAACAACAAAACTGACTCAGTAAAAAAAAACAAAAAAACCCCCCAAAAAAAAACAGTATAAACTTGTTTAAACGTGTTTGTGATGTAATTTGAAAACTGCATAAATCCAAACTGATATTACTTGAATCTATCATTCTTCACGACAATAGCAGACAAACAAAAAACAAACAAACAAACAAATATGATCAAGGCCTAATCATGTTACAGCAATAATCTATTTGCAAGTATAATGTTTTCACTCTCCTTTTTACCTGATATGAATATTACAAGTAAAACTATCAAACGCTTTTCAATGAAATGCTTCTTGGATCTTGGAAGTGAAGAGGCCGGCTGATATATTATCAGTGAGTGACGTGAAAGTGGCTTCAGGAGGGAACCTGGTTGATTTACCTGCAGGAAGTGAAACCTTTTTCACACCACTTTGCTACTTGAACTGAGGCAAATAAGGAGAGAGATGATGAGTTGATGACTAGTCTGTGTTCTTTATATAGCCAGCAGATGTCTTAGTCTGGACACCAATACCATCTTCTGTCATCTTATGCTTTTTTTCCCCCCAACTGTGAACAAAAGGCTGCACATTTCACCAGATGAGACTTGAAAGCATAGTTTATCGCAAACCTTTAACAAAAAATGCACATAATTGTGCAACTGCTTGTTCAATAAATCACCTTATCTTTTGCAGATCTGTGCACAGCTTTTCCATGAACATGGCTTCCCGAGTCAACGTTTAGAGCCGGCAATATGCAAATCACTTCAAATCTAGATCTAGCAGCTTTCACAATTGTGCACAACTTAATGGACATGTGCACACAAACGAGGACGAGCACACATATATCTCTTTATCACTGCAGTTTTAAAGAGTGCTGCTGAAATAAAACTCAAACTCTGGATGTTTGCATGTTCTTGAACCATTTTGATTTTTTGCACATTCATAATATTCCACTGCGAGCCAGAGAATGCCGTTTCCATGAAGGTGTTTTACTCAAAGTACAATATTTAGTACTTCTCAGCACATCATCCGCATAAAAAGCAGCTCATTCGTGTTAGAACTTTGCACAAATGAATATACAACACAACTCGTACCTGGATGCTCTCCTTCTTCCCACACTGTATTGTTGTGCTACGTACTTGCCAGGTAAACAGCATCCATTAACCTGCCTGGTATCCAATTCTAATATAAGATTCATGATGTAAAGAGCATTTTTTTCAGGAAAGCAATGTGCATAACAGTTGTTTTTATATGGAATGGGGAGACAGTGCAAGCTGTGTTTCCTAAATATATAAACAGAGGTATTTGTCCCCCAGAACCTTTTACTTAGTCCATTGGCTTTTGTTTCTTCAGCCGATTAAGCAGAAACATTACACAGTTCTAACCACATCTATATTCTTTAGGAAAATCTTTATTTCAATGAGCACTTAGCAATAATATTCTTGTGGAATGTTTCAGTCACTCTCTGAAGACAAAAACAAATATATTATTTGATTTCAGAGGGATTTTTTTCTAAGAGAAGACAAATATTGTTGTTTTTGCTTATCCATAGTTGTATATTTAAAAAACTTATAAATATACTAAATATGAAAAGTATCCCTGTGCTATTAAAAGGTTAGTTACTGCTTTATGTATTTCAGCATGCTTTTCAAGGTGCTACTTCCTGTGTATTTCTCAGCATGCTGTAACATGACTAATGTACTAAAAAAGTTATTCACCACTGTGCAACAATGCCACTGCAACACTGACGACATTTCATAATGCACTGCAGCATATTCTGGCAGTACATTGACCCACAGAAATAACAATCTTATAAGGAATCTAATCAAGTAAATACCACGTCCTTGTTTCAGAGAAGCAGGCGCTAAATAAAGAAGCATTTTTTTTTTCCAGCACAGTTGGCCAAATGTCTCACCTGCGGATGCACACTGAGGCTACAGCGTGATGGAGACAGATGGTGGTTCATTTGGCTGACCTCCTGTGCTTATTGTACATGTGTTAAAGCGCAGGCTGATGAAAAGCAGCAGGTAATATTACCTTGGTAGTCTGGCATGGAGACATTGAAGCCTAAGGTTAGCTGAATTCTGAAGAAAAAAAAATTACTGGTAATGCTCTTCAATGTTAAATGTTTTGCTCTGAAGAATTACAGGAATGTCTCCAAGCACTCCTGTTATTATCAAGTATTCACCCGAATCATAGGGCTATAAAACAAACAAATCTGTAAAGATTAGTTGACAAATATTCACATTAAATGAAAAAATCTGGAGACAGAAAATTTGCCTATGAATAAAACAGCATTATATTCTTCAAAAAGCCAATAAATAAAATAAAATATTCACAATTTTTTACTGAAGTTTGACATCTTAAGGTTTAAACATTAACATGCTAATTTCAGTACATATACATGCATACATAGTATATATTTTTAATTTATTCATCATTTATAAATTTTTCTACATTAGTCTACAGTAGTTCAGACTTCTTTTACTATCTATAGTAAATAGTATTGTGAAGTTTGGAAGTAAACTCGGGAATTCCAACATATCAACAGAAGTTTATCATGATATATTATTAAAACAATGTTCCTTTTCCCCTTTACTGATTCTCCCTTTGGCCTTTACGTAATTTACTTAGGCACTTTGATTTCATTTACTTTAGTCTCTGTCTTTTGTTGGTAAAATTGAAGAAGACTTAATTCCACAGCCTTTTTTAAATGGCTAAAAGTTAACTCTTTTAGCCATTTATTTTTTTGTGATAAACTGAAAACAACAGCTGTTAGTTACAGATAAAACAAAGCAAGACCACCCTGCAGCCCTTCAAACCAGATTTCTAGTTATTAAGTGGTGTGTTTCCAATGTTAGTTTATGGTGCAACTCTTAACAGCACCGTCTTTCAGTTCTACGGTTCTGTGCATGTGGACAACGTGAAAAAGCTGTGTGTCAATGACCCAGCAGACCTCATGATTAATTGAGTTTGCAGGCATTTGATTCTGCACAGGTCTCTTCACAGAATTTCAATAATGTTGAAGTCTGAAGTTTGACTTTGTGTGAATGCCTGTTGTTTTTCCAGTCATAGCTGTTGTGTATGAAATCATTGACCTGTTGATGACTCAGTTTCAGTTTAGCCATAATGCACATGGCTCTCTGCATGGCTAAACATCAGAGTCGTGCACCCTTAAAGCCGTGTGCACAATCTTTCTATATTTAAAATATATTTATTTTTTAATTTAGTGTATGTAGATATCAGGTTTGGGGTTTATGTGCGACAATTATGTGTAATAATAGACTAATAATTTCAATGTTAGGCCCATTAAGTACCTCAGACACACTCACATTATTTACGTGATGACTAAAACAAAAACATTTAAATCATAGAGATCTGAGACACCTGGCAAAAAGAGAAAGGTGTTCATTCATCTATATTAATATCCTAACAAGAAAGCCTTTCTCTGCAAGGACAAACATTAAATTTATTCCAACTGCCATTAGGGGAAGGCAAAATGTCTACAATGCTGATTTAATCAAACTGATAACATGGCCATTCGCCAGGCAGAACAATGTTTCTTGCACAATGCCTTCAGAAAAATCAGCAAAAAGCTAAATGATAATAAAAATAATAATAATCAAGGGAAATAATGAAATGGCAAATAAATTCCTGGGAGCAAACTGTTTGCAAATATGAAGTTGAGAATATAGATTGATAGTGGAAGTATTTTTCCCCCTGAGTGCTAAATCTCAGCCACAGTGCTTCTGAGCAGACAGGCTTTCTAGTCTCAGATCTTTGCTATTGTCAGACTGTGAGCAGGAGAGTTAGAAACACTGTGGAAGTGTCATTTGTTTCCTACTGGGCCTCTATGTAATGATGCCCCATGTTTACTTCACACTTTACATTTCAAAGTGATCTGATGATGTGCCTCAAAAAGAATGTGTGTGAAAAGAATAACAGCATTAAAACGATGTTGGTTATATGTCAATGAGATTCCACAGATCAAACATGTCTTACGGGATGACGTTTGCATCTAAATCCACAAGTTTCAAAGAAAATGGAGAAATGGAGGAAATTCCACAATCAAGAAAGTATTTCCTCTTTTGTGTCAATACATTGAAGCCAGTTGAAGAGCGCTTTCTTTCCCCAGTGATTATTTTATGGTAAATATGTCTGATGTTTGTCATAATTATGCAGGCGGATTCCAGTAGCATGTATGTAGCAACATGCACAGCATGTTGAATTATTCAGAAATAAATATGGATGCAACACAAGCTGATGTGTGTGTATCAAACATAAGATAAATCTGATCTGAACCAACAAAACAATGACTTTCACCTTGTCTGCCCCTCTTATTCTGCCCTTGTCTGCATTTTATGTAGCATCATATTTCAGTGATGTAAAATGCAAACATTTCAGTTCTTCACTTTTAGACCCCGGTAAAATGCGTTTCTTAAATCAGCAGCATATATGGAAACGTCGGATATGATGTTACAGGAGCAAGGAACAAAATTAATTCATTGCTTTCTGTGCATAGCTTCTTTTAGATGCAGATAAGCTGACCCATTACAGCAATTCTAGGAGTGTGTTTGAATATTTTTGATGAAATCATGCCATCTTCGATCTGCTCTTACCTCATACTCCACATATTCCTCCTCCTCCACCTCGTACGAAACGGTTTGAATCTTTACATGTTCTCCATCTTCAAGCAGCTTGGATTGAGGGTCCTCTGTGCCGGGCGTGTCCCCTCCCGCTGTGTTGGAGACCTCCTTTGCCTTCTTCTCAGTAAAGGTGGTCTCACAGCACTCACTTTTGTATTCCTTAGCTTTGATGCTTCCACTGTCCTCCTTGTACAAGATGAAGTTAGGCCTGTAGAAAGCCTCCACCGCCAGATGCAGAGAGGCGGCATCCAGAAACTGCTGCGACTTCACCTTCCCATTGGTGCTGTGACTTCCTCCACTGACTACATTCCCGTTATTTACCTTTCCTCCTCCTTCACCGCCCTCACCTCCACCTGGACCTCCTCCTCCTCCTCCAGCAAAGTAATTAATAATGTTTTCTTGGTACTGGTTATTGGGGAATTCTCCTCCGTAACCATTGACCATGTGCTTACTGTTTTTGTCCAGCAACGGGTTCTGCAGTTCGCTGAGGTTCTCCATTGGAACTGGGATCAAAATGCGAGAGAACTAACCTTCTCAGCACCAGGATTGAGACGGAAGAGTTGTGGGAGGGACAGACTCCTTAGTTGTGGGTGTTAATGCCAAATAGACATTAATGGCATTAGGCACTCTGAGATCTGTAGAGGCAACAAACACAGACAGAGATGAGAGCTATTACCTTCAGCAGAATTTTATTTGACATCTACTGGCAGGTAACATTTACTCCAACACATGCTCACATCAGATCAAAGTTAAGAGCCGGGGCTCTCTCAGTAGCAGCAACTTTTACAGCCTTCTGCTTGTCGAGAACCGAATGGTGCAGATGAATCCATCAGGCCTAATTTGCATCCTCGCTCAATTCATGTTAGAAAACATTTACATGTAAAAGAGCAGAAACAGCAGTAATATGGCGAATTGTGAAGGTCTTTATATCCAGTGAGCATTTCCATATTTTATTCTATTACAGCCACAAATGCTGGTGTGTTTCATTTGGATTTTATGTGATAGGCGTAGTTGAAAGTGAATTTTTTTTTTTTAACAAATAAAAACCTAAAGGTGTGGTCTATATGTTTGTATTTACCTCCTTTTGCTTTAACAAGTATAAATATAACCCACTGCCATCAAGTGCCTATGCACATCAAGTCTTTTGGGGTGTTTCTCTGCAGGCTTTGCACATTAAGAGACTAACACTTTTGCCGAAATGGCTCAGGCACAAACAGAAAGGATGACACGTCTGAGAACATCGATTTTCAGATCTTGCTACAAGTCAAAATTGGATTCAGGTCTGGCTTTGCCTGGGTTGGCCTAACACATGACCATGCTTTGATCTATAAACAAAAACAACAACAAATGTTATTGTGACTCTGGCTGTATGTTTATGGTTGCCATTCTGCGTGAAGGTCGATCTCCAGGTCTTTACCTCCTCTCACAGTTTTCCTTTATCTTTCTATGAACTATGATGCAAAGAAAGGTATCATGATGTTGCCACAATTGTGTTTTACCTAAGGGGAATTTATGCTTTGAAGAACTTTAAACTTCTCCACAACTATTTACCAGACTTGTCTGGTGTATTCCTTAGCCTTCATGACGTTTGTTCTAAGAACAATTGTTTTTATACTGAGGTTAAATTGCACAAAGGTGTGCTCTAATAACACACTCTGTGTCTTCTTAAGGAAGTTGGTTGAACACAATTTTATATAAACGTATCAAAGAAAAGGGAAGAACCTCAAATAATTGAGGTATGTGTATGTAGGTTTTGTGAGCACATCAGATCATCATTGTCAAAAGTGTAACCAGTATCACCATCTGATGTGTCAGTGGATGCCTCCTACATATTTTTGCTCACAGGGAAGCTATTATTCCCATTTCTACCAATCAGTGTCTGATAGTTATGCTTCAGCAAGTATGACATCTTTAGAAGTTTATAATTGGTCTTTAATAAGTTAGAGATTGGCAAAGGTACTCATTTTCATTGTTTATTAAACTTGTCATTAAATATCTGGCACTCATTTAAAATTTAATACAGCTTTTTAAATGTATTTCTTTCTTTTGACAAGGTTGTCAAAATATAATTGAGATAGCTGTATGGAAAAAATATTGCAGCGGTTCCCTTAAGTATATATGAACAACCCTGAAAATAAACTTTTAGTGTCATGTGTAAGTGTAAGCCTTGTGCCAGTCAGCATGTTTTTCAGAGCACAGGAAAGAAAAAAATGTGCCGGATTAATTCAGAGGTACTCACTAGCCATCTTCCATCTACAGCACTATGCACCTGCTCTGGAAAGGCATCCAGAAGCATCCAGGCTCAAATGTATATTTTTTGTCAGCCTACTTGTTCTCCCACCGTCCCAGGTTTTCTTCTCACCCCTAGACCTTCCTCTGAATAATTTCTAGGTTGCATGAGATTTCCAGACATGGATTATTCTCCTTGATTCCTGATCACAGTCATATATGGCTGAATTACCAAATGTTTTAAGGTAATGCAGAAAAGAACAAGATTAGGAAAAACAGGAAATGGCCTTGAGTTGATGGGATAAATACAATAAAGAGCTCAGTAATTAACACCTTGTGTAGTTATTACCTTAAACATGATCATTGATTTGTAGGTTATTTATAGCAATTAAAAGAGCAGCAGGTTCAAACTCGCATATTTTTTCTATTTTCCATAGTCTCTTTAATTCAGCACCAAATCTTTCATGTCTGCCACTGCATTTCAATATGTTTTCCATACATGAATTGCAAAAATTAATATGTAAATGTGTCCTATCTCCGCACCACTTCGAACTGATATTGAAACTCTGTTCGTATGAACCGTTCTTTGATGAAGTTTTCTGATCAATTAATAATGTGTGCTGGATTCAAGTTCAATATGTATATATATTTTGCAATTCATGAGCATCACAACTTTCTCTGTTACTCTGAAGAAAGGCAACTCAGTCATTTATCAGATAAAAAAAATATACTTAAACACATCACACATAAAAAAAACCTGGATGCTTCACATCTCACCAGAACTATTTAGTTTACTCTGTCTAGTATTTTTCTCGAGCAGTAGCATCCATCCATCCATTGTCTACATCCACTTATCCATGCAGGGTCACAGGGTGGCTGGTTCCTGTCTCCACCGGTCATTGGGCAGAAGACAGAATACACCCGGGGCAGACAGCCAGGCAGATTCCGTTCTACAGGTATTGACTCATGGGGTTTCAGTACAAATTCACACTCCATGTTTTAAATAAGCATTTGTGGAAAAAAACAACATTGTATCCTTTTCATTTTACAGCAATTGCACACTGCATTGTGTTGATCTATCACATTAAGTTCCAATTAAAAAACATTGAGGTTTGTGGCCTCCTGGCCTTCTTTGCTTTAATGACTTGTTGTACGCTACAAATTCCTCTCTTTGCTTCCCCATTTTTCCTCAAAGGTGGATTTCTTTCCCCCCCTTTTTCTCTTTTCCGAAAACACATTAATAAATCAACATGCCCAGACTCCCAGACATCCTAAAACTCTAGAAGCACTGGACAGCTAACAATGTTTTCAGTGTTCCTCTCTCATGGTCTTCCTGTGCCTCAATGTGCTGAGAATACGATTTTGATTAGACCATGCATGGCTCCAGGGCTCATATGTGCGCATGAGTTTAAAATTTTAAGACTGAAATTAATAGCACATTGTGCAGTGGATGAGCAGGTGTGTACATTACTTTCTGCTCTTGATGCTATATTTTTGTAAGCATACAGGTCTTCTTGGCCTAAACATAGACCAGGTTGTGGTGGATGCATCCTGACATATAAATCATTGACACTGTAGGCAACTGAAAGATTTACCATAGTTGTTTGGTATATACTGCATTATTCTTACATTGTGTTTGCCAGATACTTCAGTTAAAGTGCATTTTAGCAGCTGTAAATCACATCCCTATAGTACAGAGCAACTGCACTGATTAGCATAACATGTCTGCACCTCTGTAAATAAAGTCAGCTTCTGCTAAAATTACCACACCATTCACATTTCATACAAAAAACAAACTGTTGACATGAATTTAACATCAGAACACAGGATTTTAAAGGTTTTCAGTTAATCAACCCTATATTTTAGGTGTGGGGGTGGATGCAGGGCTTATCTTGGCAGACATGCCCCTTGTGCTGTGTTAGACAAGTGCCTGATTTTCAGTACATTTTGTTTTGGAGGAAATAATGTTTCAGAAGCACTTGGTGAGTGGTGAGTGGTCGGCCAGGTCGGGAAGGTTTGGTGTAAATATAATACTCTTAGGAACAGTGTTTAAAAAAAAAACATTGCATTTTTGCTTCACTCTGACATAAACAGTAAAATTAATTCCCAAAGGTGTTTGCCTTGACTATTCCCAGTTAATTCATCCTCTTGCAGAAGAAATCATCAGCATGTTTCCAATGATGATAGAATGTATTTAAAGCTTCAATTTTGGTTAACAAGGCTTCAAGTTGCCACAGTCAGGCAGCTTGGCAAAAGAAGTTTCCCTTGCATGCTATAATATCCGGTTTCAAAAAATCAATTTTATCATCATATTTATTATTTTTCTCAAATTTACTGTATTAAGACAACACTTGACGAGCTTCAAGCAGCCAACTCCAGGTTGGCTAACCAGCCAGACACCAACAGTGCTCAATAAACACTGTTCTTTTAAAACTACTAGTGAATTTAATATGTATGCTAGATTTTTCCATGAGACTATGTTTATAACTTAAAACATTACATAAATGCACAAAATCACAACTCCAATAATTAATATGTTGTGCCCTTTCAGCAGCACTGTGAAGAATTTGTGTTATTGTCCAAATGAACTGTGTAATAGATGCTTTTCATTTAATATTTACATGTGATCCCGTAAAATCCTAGTAATTAATTGGGTTCTCTGACCACCAAAATATCAGAACAGTTTATGCTTAGTGGAGACAACAAACAATCCTGATTTAGTGGGTCTGCTTAAACTTTAAAAGCAAATAAGCCAAGCCACTCTGACTTGGTTTTGAGAGCAAGACGATGCGGTTGTCATGTAAGTAACAGGAAACAGTGTTCTGCTTAATACTTTGCTGCTATAATATCTGTAGGACTAATACTCCAAATAAATGCTTTAAGCTGACAGAGGACTACTTTCATGTCATTACTTTGGGACACACACAGGAATGGTTATGGTTTTGCCATGCTACTTAATTTGTTGAGGCTGTGTTGGTGGTTCAAGGTGGACGCTTTTTCTTTTCCTCCAAGTGGGAATTAAAGAGTGAATACGCTATTTTAGTGCAGGCTGAAAAATGTAGGACACCTTAGAATCAGACAGCATGAAAGTCATAGAGGTAAATATTTCAAATTTATATATGCAAGCATGTTTCTTTTGGAAATATTTATAACATGTGGCTATAAGTGACTATACATCTATATGTGAGGCTGGGTGCATTTATTTTTTTGGGCGAAGAAGGAGTAACAAATAGATGCAGGGAGAGAGTGGGGGGCTTGAGAGGGAGATCACAATTATATGTGATTCTCTGGTTGAGTGCATTTGGGCATATTGGCAGACAGCAGAGGTGACGAGGAATAAAGAGCTGGGAGGTGCGGCTGAAAGTGAATGAGGCAGAGAAGCCGTTGTTACAAGCAAAACAATTCGGCATGACTAAGATGGCCTTAGCGCAGGATCTGGGTGCTGCACTGCATGAGAGAGAGGAGCCCATAGGGGTCCAGCAATGGGGTCCAAAGATTAGCGAACAGCCTGTAAGCAACAAGGTGTGAATAGGGTAAGATTAAGACCGTGGCAGCGCCAACATCTGAGCGCCGCAGCACAATTAGACTCCAGTCAGCATAGCCTGCTTCCCTTTCGCAGCCTGCTGCCAATCAAGCTCTAACCTCTGACCCTGGAGAAACGGAAAGCGGGTATTATCAACAAGGCCTTGAGGCAAGCATCAGCGAGAGGCGGCAGAATACCAATGCGCCTTATCTGTCTAATGTGCTTACTAGTACATCGCATCCACAGTTTTGCTGCCACATGTGGAGAGCCGCTTGCTGGGAACCACAACAACGGCTAATGTAATTTCATTTTAGAAGCAGTATATGGCATTGAATGTGCACAAGAAGGGTGACGACAAACATTTAAATATGGCCCCAAATTGGAATGATGCACAAGGTTGAAATGCTGAAACGTCAGGATTAGCACATTATCAGTGATCCCTGCATGCCACCTCAGTAGAGGAAAACCCACAGATTGATCTGGGGACAAACAAAAATTGTTATATGAGTAACGGGCTTAACTCGTGCTGACTGATCCTTTTATGATCTATTACCACCAAAGACTGAGAATAAAATAATCCACTTCAAATTAATCGAATGTCTATTTCTGCACGAACAGCCACAGATGAGGTCATGACTATCTGCTGAGCTCATGAGCATGAAACTATTCATACATTTCACGGAACAGCCTGAGCCCTCTCTGGAGTCCTTGTGCCCAGTTGCACTCTTACCACCGTGCTTTTTGATGTTCACACTCCTGTGAGAGGACACAAGGTGTTCCTTGATGTGTAAATCTGCCGTCTTTGTCATGGGTGCTTGAATAATTCAGAGAGAAAGGTGTCGCACTTCTGCATAGTTTGTTCTCTGTTGTTTGCTGTCGGTGAGGCAGAATATGTCTGAGTTGTCTTCATTGTCTATTGATCACAGACTTTAGGAGCAGATTACATGAGACCAGCGTTTAGACCGTGTTACTCTGAGTGTTGGATGGACGAATGGGTATAGATTGAGCGCTTATTGTCTGGTTTACTCATAAAACTCAGATTCAGGGGACAGAAATCCCTGCAGGTGCTCAGGGGACATTTGGAGACAAAAGTGATAAATCTCACCAATGTCAGTCATTAAATATTAATAGTGAGAACTAGTCCCGTGCAGGGCTGAGTGCATGCCAACAGTGTCAGTTTCTCCCACTAAATAGAATCCTCTCAAGTCTTCTTCTTACTTGTGCATTGATTCCCTTTCACTCAACTTTCATTTACTGTGCTCACATAAAACCAAAATTATTCACACCATCTCTTTGACGTAGATTTAGAATTGTTTTCATTCAGACAAAAAAGTTTGTTTCTTATAGAAAACGAAACAGGCATCTCTCAAAATATAAAACAGCAAAATTAGGAATCGAACTTGAAAAACATATTTTTTCTGCGCGTATTATTTTATTTTTTTTTATGTAAAAAATGGCATTTCCAAAAATAATTTACGCCTTTCTCTGTAATAACCCTAATCTTCAGCTCCCTCCTCAATTTATCCATCGGCTTCACGCCAGCTTGTAATGGGCTAATTCAAACCTGTTGCTATTGAAACAGTGTCTCTGGACACATTTCATACTTTTTCCTTCCACTAAGCTTTCTACAAATATGCTTTGACGCAGCAGTCTGGGAACAGCCAGCTCTTCAAGCAATGATTTTAGGTGGCTTACCCTTTTTGAGGACAGTATCAAAGACGTGGAACATTCTAATAATCTCAGAAATGTAATCTTGTTTGTCTATTAGCTGAAAAAACTATTCATTGAAATTGCTTAAAACATAATTGATTGAATAATATCACTTTATGGATCCACAAAATAGTTGTACTTTTTTAAAATTAGAGTATAAAACATATGAAATGCAAATGCTTTAAGGAGACAACATACTGGTTCACACACACACAAAACCCCACAGCGTTCTTTGTTTCTTTTCCACCGTTTGATTTCTTCATTAAGGAAAAATAAATAAATCATTTAACGCTGTTTGTCCAAGCAAGTGTTTTTACTCCAACCTCTACCCGATCTTATGAAGACATGTCCTGATAATACAGGACAGAAGTTGAGTCGCTGAAAAAACAACAGAGTAGGATTTTAGCTTCAGGAGTCGCAAGTAAGGACTGTGTGAGTTCTTTATCAACATCCTCCTCCATCGCAAGGGACCCAGTGCAATGCGACAGATATGGCCCCTTAATGAAATTAATTACTTGGGGATGAACGTGAGAAGGCAAAACTGTGCGTAAAAGCGCGCCTCTACCCGCGTTTATTGCGAAAGAGATTGAAAACTGTGATGGGGGAATATAAATCCCTACCTTTGGGTCCTGGCGGCTCCAGATGTTGTCATGAGGACGGAAGCATTCGCTTGTTTTTGCCCGTGCATTATGGCAGCGGAGCTGGCGTTGTCCTCCACAGAAAGAGACATTTCTCAGACTTTATCATTTAAAGAAATAGCCCATCATTCCGGGCGAAACCGCTCTTCCGACTTCAGGGGAGGGGGGGAAGAAAGAGCTCCTTCAGCAAAGATGAGGCGCTCTCCACAGTAAACCCGACCTCTCGCTAGATATCTGTCTCTTCTGAAACTTAGAACAACCCTCGGAACAAAAAGAGGGAGAGAGAGAGCGAGAGAGACACGACTGATGGTGCGTGGAGGTTTAGAGACGCGGATAGAGAGATGAGGAGTGGAAGTGCGCGCAAGGCGCGTAAGGAAACACAACACGTCCACCCCAGCCGGCCAGAAATTACTATAACCGAATTTACTATTACCTATTGGTCATCACCAGGCTATCTGCAATCTGAAGACCTGCCAAAAACCTGACCGCTCGAAGTCAATGCAATCCACCGCTGCGGGAAAGCAAGCAGAGTCGGATGAAATAAGGACGAAAAGTCCAAGCAAATCTAAGTTCATTAATGTGACAGGTGATCAGAGTCGTGATTGGACTGGACTGTCATCTCTCCGTGGAAGGGCTTCAGGGCAGACAGCGGCCACCTTTTACACACAGCGGCGGCAATTATAGAGAGAGGATGGATGAAGAGGCAGCTCTGTGTTTTCTCTGTGACCTGTGATTTCACTGGTTTAAATGTGTGAAGCCAATGACTTCAGTCACGTTATTATTATTATTATTATTATTATTATTATTATTATTATTATTATTATTATTATTATAGAGATAAGACAATAAATCTACTTGGTGAAAGACCCTTAAAATATTTTTTTATTAAATATGTGTCATTTCTGTTTCTTGGGAACATATGACTAGTACTGGGTTGGACCCCTTTTTTTGCCATAAGTAAAGCCCCAATTCTTTTTGGCATAGGATGAACAAGGTGTCAAAAACATCTCTTCCAATTTTTGGTGTTTATTGACAGGTTCACACAGTTGATGCAGATTTATCTGCTGCAGATCAAATTATTTGTTTGATTACTTGAACTCTGTCATATAGAAGTTACCAGTTTAAGATGTTTTTTCCTGCTGGTGGTCAAAACAGGGTGTACATGGTCAGCAATAAAGTGTGATGCTCAGTTTGAACTCCATGTTAAGGCAAAGGTCAGACATCTTGGGGGTTGGCTCAAAGTATCATCACATCATTGTTGCTTTGAGTTGAAAGTGATCAGCTGAGGTGATTCTGAGATCTGATCAAATTGCTTCAAAGTCTCGTCTCTTCAAAGGTTTTCCAGGTGTCCCATTGTGAGGATACTCCAGCCAGTGCTGACACAGAACTTGCTCGATAGATTCTATATCCTGGGAATGTCTTTGGTTACTCTTGAAGTTAAGTCAAGTCTGACACCAAGAGATTTTGGAGAAACTGGCTACCCAAGGGTTTCTTGTGGTTTATATAAAAAATATGCCTGTTACTGTAGGTCGATTAGTCTCTCAAAAGACACCAAACTTGTCCTTTGGGTGTCTTTGTTGCTCTGTGTCCATGGGTTTATTCGACCTCTCACCTTTTGACCCCCTTAGAACCCTGTAAGGATTAAGCAGGTATAGATCATGGATCCATGGACTTCATTAAAGCTGCAGGCACAGTAGTAACTCTGTCTTAATCACACAGCATTGTGTGTCTTTGTATTTGTATTATGAAATATCATGTGGGCTGCTAGGAAAAATGAAGCTATATCACAGACTTGTGCAGGAAAAAAATATCAGTGTAAGATTTAACACCTTCACTAATTAACACATTAACACAAAGAGCAATTGCACCCATATGTTACATTATGCCAGGTAGCAAATTAGTACGCACTAAATCTGGATTCCAATCTAAAAAATAGACCTTTCTATAAATGTGCAGCTGGGTCACAGATATATGAATCATCCTGTTGTGGGAATGTTCCTGTTGCTGTTAACATCAACAACATATCAATCATGTCATGCTTGTCTCTTTTACATAAAAAAAAGAGAGAACTTAATAAAAGTAAATGCACCGCAGTAAATATGCACAGTAATCTACATCTGGACCTCTTACTCTTTCTTCTTTTGACTTGTAAGCGTAAAATCTCTAAGATTCTTTGTATAGTAATTTCTTTTCTTTGACGTATACTAGCCTCTTTTATGCATTTGACATTTAGACCTGCCCACTTTAGAGTAAAGAAGAACGAAAGAAAAAAGTGGGGAAAAAGTCATGAAATACCCCAGGAGGGTGTGGATCAAAATAGTCTAGATCATCGCAGAGATGGACCAAGGGATGGACAATAGGGATGGAAAAAATGAGGGCAAGCACAATGGGAGGTGGCTCTGACAGGCCGTGTAATAGCTTGAACGTTCTGAAACATTGATCATACCGCCATTTCAACATTTCCTCAAACCACCTACTGTTTTTAAGACAGGCCTCCCAGGAGTATTTTTTTTCTATTCCTATCTGTATTTTTTTTTTTGTTCAAACTCGGTGGAACAGCAATCATTCCTGACAAACAGATTCAGGTCCACTGGTCGGTTGCACTCTTGGCCTCATCAGAAGCCCATCAATCATTGATAACTTTTCTTCTTTAGCTTCACTCCTCTCTTTTTGCACTCACAGTCTGATCAGCAGAAGGCTGTCATATTGCAAAGTTCAGCCGTACCCTTCCCTGCTTTTCAGAGGTGCTTGTCGCTCTCACCGCTACAGGCATGTCTCGCTATGCAGCAGAGCTGTAAGATCCAATTTGTTTGTTTTGAGATGACTCCAATTCCTTTTGCCACAGAACATTAGGGCTGCAAATGAATATCCCTGAGCTCAGTGGCTCACAGGTCTGTTTGGAGGCAGGAGGATGGCATTCCGGCATAATGGCAACAGCGTGGAGAGAATTCCTTAAGAACGGTGCGATACTGGCCCTATAAAAATCCTCGCTCTCGCCTCCAACCATTTTCTGGCTCTCCTCTCACGGTGTCATTTGTCACCTTTACAGACCTTTTCACAAATGAGTCTAGAAGGCAGAGGGCTCATCGACAGCACCATGCTCGATTCCAACCTCTACCTCTCTGTCACTCTCAGTCGACACTCACAGGGAAAAACAGAAAGGAATACAAATGAGCAGCAGCGTTTGAAGAGACAAAGCAAGGCCCACAAAACGTTAGTGAATCTGGTGCTAATTATTGAATGCCTGCCTCATAATAATACATATTTAAATCTCATGTATATGTAACACCTATTAACTTTTCAATGTCATAATAAAAATATGGAAAAATTTGTAGCTAGAGTGCTGCTGGGGCTTAGTTAATTGAAAAAATGTCCACACTTAGTTTTCCAATGAAAGAAATGTCGGTTGACATTTCTGCAACACATTAAGCTTCCTCACTGATGATGCACTCTGGAAAATAGAGAGTAGCTGCTTCATTTTTCACTTCAGTGATTTGCAGCAAAAACACAATCAAGATTTTGTCCCAAGTTAAGCATTGCTCTCTCTTCTAAAAATCTGATAAACCCCTTGAGGATAAAAGGGAAAACAAAATAAAACCTTGTTGAAATGCTGCAAAGTTGTTCAAACAACAAGGGACATAAAATCACGTTCACGTGTGGGTTCAACATTTTGTGCATGCCTTTTGTCTCTGTCATGGCTAAGACTGTTATTTACAACATCCAGCTCCTGAAACCTGCTATAGATCATCTCCCCTTATCTCAAACATAACACAAGTGATCATGTACAACTCTGCTATTGCCTTCATTTTCAGTTTCATTAAAACATGTTGAAATTGTATTATTTGTGTCTATGGTGAATATTCTCAACCTCCACTGCAGCACACGTATGTTGCGTAACTCTCACCTTGCAAAGTAGTCGAACTAGTTGTCATAATATGTCAAGTAAAAGATTCTTTCCACACTAGCGTTGCAAGAGAAGTTATTCTTTCTAATGCAGATGAGAATTTGTGACTCAAGAGTCAGGAGCTCCAAGAGGTGTAGGAAGACTGCAACGCAATTCCTGCCACAATGGCTGTATTGTTTTCTTTCAAACTATTCCTGGCAAAAGAGCTCAGTGCAGAAACAAAGTATCTCTTCTTATTTTTGGGTTATGTTTAGATACAATTTGAAAAGACGGAGAATGTAAATAATATATGTAAAAAATAAACAAAAAACATCCATAATGTTGGTTCTGATTGGACTAACTTTGACTTGCACCGATCAGTGATTATCTGCGACATGGATTCATATATCTGGGTTGATCACGATGAAGTAAGACCTGATCTGAACTACTGTAATAACCTCTTGACCAAAAGCCAAAATAAATATATATATAAAAAATCTGCAAATACAATCATTTTGTGAAGAATGGCTTGGCTCAACCTTTGGGAAGACTTAGAGATTTGACAAGGGTTTAATATTGAACTGTACCATATTGGGATGCATTTTAGTTTACATATGTTTTATGAAAAATCGTATGTGTATTTATTTAATTGAATCATATATTATTGAGTATTCATAAAAAAAATTGCATTTTCACAGATTTTTCCAAGATGTATTAATATTTAATCAATTGTAACATTGAAAACTCAATTCACTAAGTGAAACATGTATGGGATAATTACACAGAGACTGATGTTTTAAAGTTTTTCATGACATTTACAGCTAATGAAAACAACATTTTACACTGGAGTTTCACGTCAGACCTATAAAAATGCATTTTCAATGTGGCCTTATTAAAAATATACGTTCCATACAAATACAATGGCTGTTATTTTTAAAAGTTACTTTTAATCTGACAAACTCAGCAGAAAGTATATTTGTTTATTGAATCTGGCTGTTTAAATTCAATTGACTTTATTACTGCATGACTGTACACGGTATTACTTCCTGATACAATATGGTACAATATGACTTGGTACAATATGGTGCTGTACAATATAATATTTCATGCACTACAATACAAATCAACAAGAATTTTTTAAATTGTTTGGCTATATCATTAGTATAAAAATATTAATAAAATTATAAGCTTTGTCAAAGACGTCCAGTAATTGAAAAGTGTCCCATCATTGTTTTCTTTGAGCAGCAGAAATCAAATTCTGTTCTGTTAAGAGAATCCATGCAGTAAGCAGAGCATCCATGTTCAACAGCTCATGAGAGCCTTTCCCCTGAACTCCCCGCTCAGAAGAGACCATCTGAAAGTCCTATGTTGTATTTTTAATTACTGATTTTATCCTTTGACATCTC